GCCACGGAGTCCCTCCCTTGGCCACAACCTGGCCCATGCAGGAGGGTGCTCTGGGCTCACTGTAGCTTTACCTCTCAGCCCCACTCTGGGGCCATACTCTGGGATGGGGAAACCCCTGAACCCCCTACCCTCTGCCCCTGCACCAGGTGCTGAGGAACAAAGGTGTGTATGAGAGCGTGAAGTACATCCAGCAAGAGAACTTCTGGATCGGCCCCAGCTCGGTGAGGGGCCCAGGGGGCGGGGACAGCATCTCAGCAGGGAACGCTGGGGCCCTGTCGCCCCCAGCTGGGCAGGGGGTCAGCTGGCCCAGGAGCCCCTCTTATCAGGGGACCTTCAGGCGAAACTCAACAGAGTGGCCAGCTCTGGACCCAGGCTCATTCTTTCCCCTCCCCCAGATTGATTTGATCCACCTGGGAGCCAAGTTCTCCCCCTGTATCCGGAAGGACCAGCAGATCGAGCAGCTGGTGCTTCGGGAGCGAGACCTAGAGCGGGACTCGGGCTGCTGTGTCCAAAACGACCACTCGGGCTGCATCCAGACCCAGCGGAAGGACTGCTCGGTGGGGCCAGGCCCTCTAGCCCCTGCCAGCCCTGCTCTGGTCCTGTGCACCATCTTCACTTGCCCCAGCATAGGGGAGGGACCCTCAGGGACAGTGACCGCATTCCCTCCTTCCTTCCTGGCCCCATACAGGGAGAGTGCCAAGCTCCCCAGCCCCAGAGAAGTGAGGGAAGTGACGTTCCCAGGTCTTGGGAACGTCAGCCAGGGGTGGAGGTCTGGGAGATGAGCCTGAGCCCTGGAGACCAGGGGAAGAGCCGCCGTCCAGAGGGCCCCTCGCCAACTCTAATGGGGATGGCATCACCCTAGTCGCAACCAACCCTCCTCTGTTCTCCAGGAGACTTTGGCCACTTTTGTCAAGTGGCAGGATGATACGGGGCCCCCCATGGACAAGTCTGATCTGGGTCAGAAGCGGACGTCAGGGGCGGTGTGCCACCAAGACCCCAGGTACAGTCTCAGGGTGGCCCAGCTGGGCTGTGAGAAGATGGGATTGAGTATCCTGTCTGTGCTTCCCCCTGGGGGTGTTAGCGGGTGGGTGTGGCAGGCTGGGGGGCGGGCCCAGCTCCTCATTTTGCCCCTTCTAACCTCTGCCTCCAGAACCTGTGAGGAGCCAGCCTCAAGTGGTGCCCACATCTGGCCTGATGACATCACCAAGTGGCCAGTGAGTGTCCGGGGTGGAGAATGGTCTAGGAAGGGCAGGGAGACGGTGAGAGTGCCTGCCACTGCAGGGGCCCGACCCAATGTGGGCGTGTCGTGTCCTTCCCCGCTCCCCCCCCCCCGCCCCCCACAGATCTGCACTGAGCAGGCCAAGAATAACCGCACCGGCTTCCTCCACATGGATTGCCAGATCAAGGGCCGCCCCTGCTGCATCGGCACCAAGGGCAGGTAAGCCAGCTCCTCTGTTGCCACCCGCCACACGGGCTAGTGTCCTCCCTCCCCCACTCTGGGGTCGCCCGTGGTGTGAGCAGGATGAAAGGGAGCCTGCCCCAGAGCTCGGGTCCCCACAGAGGGGCGCCGCTCCTGCCAGTGGGCAGGGGTACTCGGGGCTGTGATGTAGCCCCTTGCCTCCCTGTCCCCCCAGCTGTGAGATCACCACCCGGGAGTACTGTGAATTCATGCATGGCTATTTCCATGAAGAGGCAACACTCTGCTCCCAGGTGAGGCAGGGCCTGCGGGGGCCCTGAGGGTGAGCAGGTGGGCACGGCAGCGTGCTGGAGCCGGCCTCATGCCTCCCCTCCTGCAGCAGGTGTCTGGCTCTGCACCCACCCCCGCCCCGCATCGGGGCCAGCTGGGTCGCAGGCCCTGACTGCCCCGTGCTTGCCCTCAGGTGCACTGCTTGGACAAGGTGTGTGGGCTGCTGCCCTTCCTCAACCCCGAGGTCCCAGATCAGTTCTACAGGCTCTGGCTCTCTCTGTTTCTCCACGCAGGGTAAAAGGCCCCTCGCTGCCCGCCCCCTCCCCCACGCCCCGGTGCTGCCTGCCCCCCCCCCCACCCCGCCCCCAGGCCTGTGGAGGAGCGCTCCTGGCTGGCAGCCGGGGGCAGACGCGGGACGGCTGATGCCTGCTGTGCCCCCTCCCCAGCGTGGTGCACTGCCTCGCGTCCGTGGTCTTCCAGATGACCATCCTGCGGGACCTGGAGAAGCTGGCTGGCTGGCACCGCATCTCCATCATCTTCATCCTCAGTGGCATCACCGGCAACCTCGCCAGCGCCATCTTCCTCCCGTATCGGGCAGAGGTAGGGACTTGGGGGATGGGGCAGGGAGGGCCAGTTCTGCTGCTTCCCGCCCCCCCCCCCCCCCCCCCCCCCCCGGAGCCGCCAGAGGGACACACGGCCCCGCCCGGGGCCAGGCACGACACCAGATGGACAGCTAAGCTGTGGGCTTATTGGCTGATCCCCTAATCCCTGGGAGCGAGGGAACAGCGATGCCTCTGCGTCAGGCTCAGGCATCATCTCCAGAAAGACTTTTCCAGACCCTGTCCCTCACTTTGTTCCCGTTCTCTGCTTCATTTCTCTTCGTGACCATGACCCTTGCCTGCCTACCCGCAAGTCACATAGCTGTGGGTTGAGCTGCATGAGGTCTCCAGTGTGCAGATACTCATGACCCACAGAAACAGTGACAGTTTTTCCATTGATTCGACCCCATGCCCTTGGCTTGTTCGGTGTCCGTCCATCCTGCCGTATGCTGCCTGGCGTAGGCCTGTCTGTCCTGCTTACTGCACGGACTAAACACCGGGCCCGTAGTTGGTCCTCAGTGTTTGCAGAAAGGGTAGGTGCAGAAAGCCCCACTTTGGTCCGGGAGCCTCAGCTGCCGGGTCCCCACCCCTGGGAGAGCCTGCCCGTAGGAGGACCCGGCTGCACCCCAGCTTCGCACGTGGCACCCCGGGCTGACGCCGCTCCCCTCCCCACCCCAGGTGGGCCCGGCGGGTTCGCAGTTTGGCCTCCTCGCCTGCCTCTTCGTGGAGCTCTTCCAGAGCTGGCAGCTGCTGGAGCGGCCCTGGAAGGCCTTCCTGAACCTGTCAGCCATCGTGCTCTTCCTGTTCATCTGCGGCCTCCTGCCCTGGATCGACAACATCGCCCACATCTTCGGCTTCCTCAGCGGCCTGCTGCTGGCCTTCGCCTTCCTACCCTACATCACCTTCGGCACCAGCGACAAGTACCGCAAGCGGGCCCTCATCCTGGTGTCGCTGCTGGTCTTCGCCGGCCTCTTCGCCTCTCTGGTCATCTGGCTCTACGTCTACCCCATCAACTGGCCCTGGATCGAGTACCTCACCTGCTTCCCCTTCACCGGCCGCTTCTGCGAGAAGTACGAGCTGGACCAGGTGCTGCACTGACCCCCGCCAGGTGGGCCTGGGTCGGGCTGCCTGTCTGCAGAGCGCCCCAGCCCGCGCTCCAGAGACCCGCCGCCGGGGGCCCCGGCCCTCCCTCCAACCAGCCACACTGACCCCGCGGTGACAGTCACAAAGGCGAGGTCCTTGGGGGAGTGAGGCCCCCCCCTTCCTCAGTCTGGGGAGCCCTCCGAGCATGTGCTTCTCCACAGCACGGGGACTCGGACCCTGCCTTCCTGCCGCTCCCCTGCCAGCAGGACCCCTGCCGAGGGGTGGGCTTCTCTCCTTCCCAAGGTCCTCGGCTTTGCCGATCTCCCCACTCAGCCCCAGCTGGGGCCTGGCCCCCCCGCCCCCCACCACACACACACACCCCATTACTGTGGCCGTGCCCTTACTGGGACGTGGCCAGGGTTCCCACCAGGTTCCCACCCCTGCCTCACTGAGGCCTCCCCTCCCTGCCCTATGAGCCCGTGCCCCTTATTCAGCAGTGGCCTGGTGAGCCTGCCCTTAATGCTCCTGGACCAGCCGTGCGGGAAAGGCTTTGCCGTGGCCTGGGGCAGAGAAAGAGCATGGAGACACAGCGAGGCTGGGGAGCTGAGAGCCTCCCCTTGGTGGTCGCAGACAGCCTCTCCCCTCTCTGTCTGTCCTGGTCCTTCCTCCGAGTCAGTGTTCTGCCTTGTGGGACTGGCTCTGAGAAGGCTGGCCCTACCCCACTCTGCCTCACTCCTGCCCAAGTGGGAGTGGGGGCTGGGCCACCTCAAGGACCTGCTCCCAGGGGGTTGCCCACGGCTCAGTCAGGCCCATTTTTTACTGGCTTATATTATGGTTCTAATTTTTAAAAGTAACGCTAACTTTATATGGATGATGTCTCGAATGTATTAAATGATATTCTCTAAAAGTATCACTTTTTGACCTGGCAGAGTGAAAGCCGGGACTTTTTTTTTTGTTGGTGGGGGGTCAGCCGTGAGCTCAAGGGCAAGGCCTTGGCCCAAAGGGACGGTGGAAAACTTGTGGGGCATTTGGTTGGACCGGAAACCAGGTTTGGGGTCCCACGGAAAGCCTCAGGGGGTTCCTTGAGAGGGCCGGGTCAAATCCTTGGACCCCAGGGGCAGTGAGGGGCTGGCTTTCCTGGCAGAGACGGCAGGGGGGAAGGCACAGACCTCGTCCCTTCACTGTGCCTCACCCGCAACCCTCACCCCACACAAGAAGCCACCTGGGAGGTTATGCGGCACAACTATTTTATTAGAGGGAACAGGACCCGGGGTTTCCGAGGCGAGGGGTGGGGGGCACATGGGGGTAGCTGGGAGGTAGCCCCTGCACTTCCTTGCTCCCAGGTACGCCCCATTCTGGGCCTGAGGACGAGAACGGAAATCCCTGAGGCTGGGGAGAATAAGGGCCTGAGAACCAGGCACCTCGCATGAGTCGAGGAGGCTGCCTGCCCAGAGGGTCCACCATCGGTTCCTGAAAATGAGGGAGTCACCGAGGCGGGTCGCAGGACACCTCCTGCTGTCCCCAGTTACCAACCCGGCCCCACCTCCAGCACAGTTCGGCATACAGCCTGGGCTGGGGAGAGAAGGGGACACCGGTGCCGGGTGGCTGTAGGCACCATGGGGCGGCAGGTGTCAGCAGCCGCTGTTCCGACGCAGGGAGCCGTTGCCTTGCGTGGAGCACTGGAGCTCCATGAAGGTGAGCGAGCCCAGGGTGATGGCGCATGGGCCCATAAGGCTGAAGCCGAACCTCTGGTAGAAGGGCACCAGTCTGTCCTCACACATGAGCACGGCCCGGTGCACCGCTGGCTGACTGCCCAGGTGGTGCAGGTAGCGCCACATCAGCGTGGAGCCCTTGCCCTGCCGCTGGCAAGCGTGGTGCACTGCCAGCACGTGCAGGTGGACAGTGTGGCCCCCGGGCCGGTGCAGCGTCAGCGACTCCTGGAAACAAGCAGGGCTGTGAGTCCAGATCCAGCTCTGCCCATACCTGCCTCCCAAACTACCCCCAACCTGGCCAAGGGCAAGTGTCTCCTGAGTGCCTCCAGGCGGGGCTCCCTTCCCAGCCATGGAGGGCCCCAAATTGGGAACTCTACCCTCCGCCCCATGGAGGACGCTTCATGAAGGCCTTTGAGCCCCAAAGAGGTGAGTCCTTTTGACCCGGGAGAGGACCAGAGGAAGAAATTCCAGCCCCTGGCCTCCTCTGCGTCCCTCTGAGCAGGAGAAGCCAGGGCCTGGGGGTGGCAGCCTCCCTTCCAGAGGGAGCGTCCGAGCGTCCCAGCCCCATCCTGCCCTCACCTGAGTGAGTCTCTCCTGGTCCCAAAGCGAGCCGATGATGAAGGCCACGAGGCGGCCCTCCTGGAACCAGCCCAGGGACAGCTCTGGACACAGGGTCAGGAAGTACTTGACCTCATCCAGATACAAGGGGCAGATGCCCAAGACAGAGATGAAGGCTGCAGGAGGTGCGGCAGGTGACTCAGTGGTCACCCCGCCACATGCCACTGGCCACTGCACACCAAGCATCTGCTCAAAAGCCCAGGTGGGGTCTCCCGCCCCGCCCACCCCCGCCCTCGCCCACAAGAAAATGGGATTCAGGGCTGTTCCCATCCCCGCTTTCCTGAACACGCATGCATGCGCACACACAGAAATACACCTCCAGTCTGATCCCCTGGGGACCCAGCCACCAAGGACAGGGGCTCCTCCCCACAGGCCCTCTGCGGGGCCCGCTTACCTTCGCGCTCGATCTCAAACACGCTGGCAGCATCCTCCGGAGTGAGGCAGCGGAACTCACTGGCGGGAAGTGTGTGGCGCCGCTGGTGGCTTGGGGCCTCTGGGATCCCAGACCGCAGGTCCAAGGCCTCGGGCTCCAGGTCGGGAGGGCTCTGTGTGGACATCTTGGCTGCTGGTGCCTCCTTGGGATGCCCCAACTTCAGAAGTGGCCTTCGTCACCTAAAAGGGCCCTCCAGCACCTATTGGAGTGGAGTGAGGGCCAGGGGTATGGTCCTCAACTCCAAAAGGGGCAGGCCAGGGTGACGGTGCACCTTGCCTCTTTTGTAAGTGGACCTGGGGTTGGGCGAGTCCCAGTGCGGATCCTGGGGGCTGTAAATGTTGGTGCCGTCTCTCCGTCTCTCCCTCTCAGCCAGAAGTACCCGCAGAGCAGCCCTTCCAAACCTCCAGATCCTGGCCTCGCTGCGCTCCAGGTACATCTAAGTCCCAGGAGGCAGTGGGAGGGGTGGGCAGGGCCCCATGGAGCCCAAGGCATCCCAACGCCGCTTGCTGCCCAAGGTGGGAGGGGTGACCACTGACCACGTCTAGCACAACGATGAGCGGGGTGGGTCGGTCTGTCTCACCTGCCCAGAAGGCGACTCGCCAGTTCTTTGGGTGTAGGATGCTATGGCTCCAGCTTTCTAGGCAGCTTCAGCTGCAGGCCCTGGAGAAAAAGACCCTTAATCAAAGTGGGTCCTCAAGGAGCCTTCACGTTTACTCAGATGGCCCCAGACTGGACCACGCACACATGAGGGCATCGGGAGGATCAGGAGAGTCTGAGGAGGTAGGGCGGAGCGGGCCAGGAGGGCATCTGACTATGTCCCTATGGCACTTTGTATCTCCCGTGATGCTCTTGCAGATTCTTCCATATTTGCCTTGCCCTCCCTCCTCCACTTTTTCTCCCTATGCCTAGAAGCCCCAAGCAGAAGTAGCTCCTGTTCCTAGAGGCCGGGAGCCAGGGGTTGGAGGGTGGGATGGGGGCGGCCCACTTACCAGGACTTTGAGCAGGGGCCCAATGTTCCCACCGCAGAGCCACTCACCCTGGAGGTCGCCTGCAGGCGCGGGAGCCAGGGAAGTCTGGGACTCTGGGCTGCGTGGCTGTTGCAGCAGGTGTCACTGGGGAACACGTGATGTTCTCCCAGATTTATAATCCCCGCCCCGCCTCCGTATTACGCCAGCAGGACAAAGCCAGCAGACTGTGACCCTGCCTGCTGAGGGTCAAACATCGGTGTGACACACTGGATGCACAGGGGATTAAGTGATTGATTGAGAGCCCAGAATCTGGGGGAAGAGCACAGGGCTAAACCTCAGGGGTCCAGCTCTAATCCCTGTTCCGGTTTTGCCTGGCTGGGCCAGGCATTCACCCTTTGTGCTCCGGAGGCTCGGACACACTCAGCCCGGAGGGTCCTTCCAGCCCCTGCTGCCCAAAGAGCACTACCATTTGTAGCCCTTGCTATGGGCTGAGCCTCAGGAAAGAATATCCTTTAACCCACATGAGAGCCCAGTGAATATTAACCCCATTTTACAGAGGACACCGAGGCTCAGAGAGACTGAATTACCTGCTTAGAGCCTCCCAGCAAGTTGTGGGGAGGGGGCGGGGCAGGAGAGGCAACCGCAGGTATGTCTCCAAGCATCACGCTGTTCCCACCAGGGATGTTAGGCCCCGTGGATTTTCCAAATGGCCGGGACACGTCTTCACAGTTCTACCAATCATCAGACTGTATCCTCAAGTCAGGGTCTACCAAAGCAGGGGGGAGCCAGTGAGTGACCCATCGGCCTTGGGAGGGGATGCCCAAATCTGGCTCTTAGGATGTGCCGTCTACTAGAGCCAGGGAGACTGGAGAGGCAGGCAGTATCCGGACCTTGCTGTGTAGGCAGAGGCAAGCCACTGATCACCAGACAAGCCCCTCTACATCCTGCCCTCATAAATTACCTCCTCCAGGGATGCAACCAAGCATAACTCTTTCCAGAGCGCTCTGGAGAAAATCCCCAGATCCAGAAGTGAGAGTCAAATCCTCCTGCGTACCAGCCGGTCACCTGTAGCAAAAACCAACCCAAACAAGCAAGAGGTCCTTAGCAACTCACACCCTCCTCCCAACCCCCCCCGCCCCGGCCCGGTACCCTGCCTAGTCTCCCACACCTGCCATTACCCTGAGGTACTTAAATAACCCCAAGGGGCTGCGGCTGCCACTTTGGAAGACTTCGAAGTACCTGCTAAAGCTGGACTCATGGGCGCCTGGGTGGCTCAGTTATTAAGCGTCTGCCTTCGGCTCAGGTCATGATCCCGGGGTCCTGGGATCGAGCCCCGCATCTGGCTCCCCGCTCGGCGGGAGGCCTGCTTCTCCCTCTCCCACTCCCCCTGCTTGTGTTCCTGCTCTCGCTGTCTCTCTCTGTCAAAGAAATAAATAAAATCTTTAAAAATAAATAAATAAAATAAACAAATAGACAGGCTCTTTAAAAAAAAATAAAATAAAGCTGGACTCATGCCCTGGGACCCGCAGTCCCCACTCAAACACCAATAGAGCTAGAAGGTTCCCCGGTGGAAACAGTCCAAATGACCATCAGTGGTAAGGGACTATGGAATAGACACAAAATGGAGGATCATCCAGCTGTGAGAGCAAACGACCATGAGGACACATGGCATCACTGAGGACCCTCACCAAGGCAACAGGGAATGAAAGAAGCCCCCAAACAAGAGCGGTTCTGAGTCCATGGATTCGGTTCTAATCTATGTGTTGGAGGCAGTGGCTGCCCAAGCGGGGCTTCTGGGGTGCCGGTAATATAACATTCAATTCTTTCTCTTTTTTTAAGATTTCATTTATTTACTTGAGAGACAGAGAGAGCTCGAGCGGGGGGAGAGGCAGAGGGAGAGAGAGAGGCAGACTCCCCGACGAGCAGGGAGCCTGACACAGGGCTTGATCCACGACCCTGAGATCATGACCTGAGCCAAAACCAAGAGTCAGATGTTTAACTGATTGAGCCACCCAGGCACCCCAAAAATACAATCTTAAAAACAAAAAAAGGTCAAACACCAACATCGAGAGTGACTGCCTGTGTTTCTAGTCCCAGCCTTGCTGAGTGATAATCTGCTAAGGCATTTCAGAACACTAACTGGGTCCTGACACCAGGGCATCCTCCCCCAGGGGCTGTCATCGAATTCATCTGACCGGCAGGGTAGCCTCAGGAGATGTACCTGGTGAATCAGATTGCCAGATTTAGCAATTAAAAATGCAGGAAGCCCCGTGAAATTCAAATTTCAGGTAAACAATTTTTTTAAAGATTTTATTTTTAAGTAATCTCTGCACCCAACGTGGGGCTCAAACTCACCACCCTGAGATCAAGAGGTGCATGCTCCACAGACTGAGACAGCCAGGCACCCCACAAATAATTTTTTAAGTATAAGTCTGTCCCATGTGATATTTGGGGCATACTTTTACTAAAAAATTGTTTATCCCAAATTCTGATTTCTACCTCAAACTAATGCAACATTATATGTCAACTTTATTTAAATTAAAAAAGAAATTTTTAGGGACGTCTGGCTGGCTCAGTTAGTAGAGCATGTGGTTCTCGATCTCTGGGTCATGAGTTCGAGCTCCACATTGGTGTGGAGTTTATTTAAAAAAAAGAAAAAGAAGAAGAAGAAGAAGAAGAAGTGCACATTCTCTGAGCTGTAATTTGGCATCCTATTTGTCTTTCTTGTGGGAAAAGAGTGTGCCCAGCTAGCCATGTGCATAGAGCAGGGGTTCAAACCTTTGTACCCCTTTGCAAGTGGAGTCTTTGGCGGAACTCTAGCATGTAAAACAGACCAAGAGCCCCCCTCACCCCACACCCCACACATCTCCCGCCCCCCCGCCCTGGGCTGGAACTCCCGCCAATGACATGAAGACTGCCAAGATGAGGTTGGAACAATATGGATCCCACCAGGGGCCCCTGGAGAGAAATGGACTTCCCTCAGAGGCACAGACTCATCTTAGAGCGCCTGTGCCCCGTGTGGCCCTTGGAACACCATCCCCACAGGCAGGTTCTGAGGCTCTGTCCAGGCTAAGGGGGGCAATAGAAGAGTACCATCTATCTGAGAGGCATCACAGGGGACATCGCAGACGCTCCCACAGCAGAACCAGAGGTGAGCTGTGTATCTGATAGAGAGTCAGTGTAACCCAGTGTCCCGCATGGGGACCATTGGCTCGGGGTGCTTTTTGTCAGGCCCCCTATTGATACAGTTTTGCTCTTTATGCCAGTCTTCTCCTTCCAGCACCAGCTCTCTGGAAAGGGTCCTGTAATAACCACTGCTCCCCAGCTCCGATTCTGCCCATTGGCCTCCATACCACACTTCTTCTCCCAGCACCGCTCTCCTTAGGGGTGCTACCCCTCACTCCCTCCAGGCTGGCCTCCCCGTCCACCAGACAGGTCCACGCACATCTGAATGACAGCGGTGGGCTGGGCTCCAGCCCTCTCCCACAAGGCTCTTTGGTCCCAAGCAAACCACAGGCTGTGGCTTGGCTCCTGCTTCAGGGTTCCAGAACATTCTATGATAGTTTGGAGCCAGGTTGTGGAAGGCACACAGAGATCCCCTCCAGAGGGCCGTGTTACCTAACTCCCCACCTGTCCCAGCACAGCCTCACCTCTGACCCGGCTGAGCCCCTATCCCACTAACGATCTGAAGCAGCAAAGGGATGACGGGCACAGAGGTGGCTGTCCTCATGGTCGAGTAGACAACGGAGGTCTCGGTATAGGAAGTGTTCTGAAGGGCTGCATGTTGCCACAGGGAAGCTAAGGGATGTCTACTCTTCGGAGGGGGAGCAGCCTCATGGTGACAGAGCAGAGGTCATCTGTTAAAGATACACCGGCCCTTTGGCATGGCTGGGGCAGCCCCCATGTTCTCCCTCCCTCCCCCACTCCCCCGTCACCAACACTGGCCCCCAGCCTGCGGCAACTCTGACAAACTGCAGAGCCTGGCCCGGCGTGGCGGTGGGCATCCCCCCGGGCCCAGAACCTCCGGGAGCCCCTGCTTCTCTCTCCTCCTTCCCTCAGCGTGACAACTGCCCGGTTCCCACTGCAGGGCCCAGGGGAGTCCACCTGGAGGAGACTGAGGGGTGGGCCCCTGAGAGACGGGGCCCAGAGACACTATGATGGTATTTCTGAGACCCCCAACTTTCCACACACAGCCACTGGAAGGCC